GGCCAACACCCCCCCCCCTCCAGGGTATTCTCTCTTTCTCACTCCCTCTTTCACCTAAGAAGACAAAAGGTACCTGGGAATTTAGTCAGCCCTGTTGCTGGGAAATGTGAGAAGGGTTTCTGAAACCTTGAACCAAGTCTAGCTGGTTTAGTTACTAGAAAGTGTTTGATCTTTATTTCCTCTAGGAACCATTTATGACTGTAATGCCTTATACTCACTTCAGATCTATCGCCTTGTAATTAAATCAACTTGTTTTATTCGTTAAGCAAAACGAATCCAGTGTTGTGTGTAAACTGAGCTGTTTGGGTGACTCCAGTTAAAGTACCAAACTGTTGTACATTGATCCCTTACAGGGGCAACGGACTGCCCAGGAGAGGGCTGGACAGAGGACAATGCACATTTGGGGGGAAATTGGGGACTGGGAATGCGTTGGGGTCACCCTGCAGGCGGTAAGCAGGACTGTGGCTGTTGTGTGGCTGCCAGGTTGTGGCTATATGCAGACACTCAGGGTGTGACCTGCATGCTGGCAGGCTGGGTGTGTGGGGCCCAGGTTGGGAGCAATGGCAACAAAGCATTTGCGGAGCATTGCAGAGCAAGGGGTGACAACTCCTCATTAGTCTGGACTGCCCCCCAGAACGCGATACCCCCAACCCTTGGTTACCTGAGGGCTAACTGCTTGGCAGGGGGGCAGGGCGGTTGTTCAGGGGAGGAAGCTGCTAGCAATTTGACATGATTTGCCAAGCTCTATTCAAAACGCCACTCTCAGTTTGAGCAGCAGCAGCCCGGGTCAGATTCGGAGCCCCTCCCCCACGAGTAGGGCCTTACACCACAAGCAGCTAGACTGTAGTCAATGGGGCTATTTGTGGAGTAGGGCATGATCCCAGATGCAGGGCGCAGGAGCAGACCAGAGAGGAGACAGTGTGGCCTAGTGGATAGAGCACAGGACTGGAACTCAGGGGACCTGGACTGTATTTCCAGCTTTGCCACTGGTCTGCTGGATGACCTTGGGTGAGTCACTTCATCGCCCAGTGCCTCTGTTTCCCCATCTGTAACATGGGAATAGCGACACTGATCTCCCTTGTAAAGCACTTTGAGATCTACAGATAGAAAATGCTAGATAAGAGCTTGGGTTGATGCTTATTATTTCCCCCTGGTCATGGACTCCTCCCCTCCAAATTGTCTTCGTCAAATTCTCCCCCACCCCATTCACGTCCCCTTGCCCAGCAGCCTACCCACTCTAAGGCGCTCCCTGTGGTTCCTCAAAGCCCATTTCTCCTACTTGCTAGCTCCAGGAGAGCACCTGACTGGGGAGTCCCACCTGGGGAAACAGAGCTGCTCTCTCAGCTGCTAAGACCAGTCTCAGCTGCTCCCTGCCCCCGTGACCCCGAGGCCTCCGGGGAGCGGGAAGGCAGTGGCAGGGAGAGGTATTTCTAAAGGAGGGCTGCTGCAAATGCAAATCTCAAGGCAACCTGAGCTATGGAGCCTCTTGAACTCTGGGTGTCCTCCTCTCCTGTGACAGACATTCTGCCTCCCCTTACTGAGCTAGATAGTGCAGCCAGCACCCAGCCCATGCTGGCCTGATTAAAAAAATCCTTCAGCCATCTGGCTTCCTGAAGAAGAGGGTCAAAAGTAACACAGTCCATTAGCCCGAAGCCCGCTACTGCTTCAGCCCAGAGCGTGGTGCCTACAGAGCACGGCACCTAGTTAATTATTTCTCTTAGGGTAGCACAACAGGCTCTGTTGTGCCGGGCCCCTGCTCCAAAGCGCTCGTCTAAGCAGACAAGGGAAGCATTGTGGGCCCCATGTTACAGGCAGAGACATTAAGGGATTTGCCCAAGCGAAGATTAGGACCTGGGCCCGGCTGTTAGGGGTCACAGGGCAGCGCTTGAACCCCTAGCCTTGGCTGTGTTCATTTGCCACCTCCTCGTAGAAAGATTTTTTCCTGCACCCCCCCTGGAGCTGTAACTTGAGCTGTAACCACTTTTCACCCAACAGCAGGTTGCTTGTAACCGGGCACAGCTGTATTTACCAGGCAGCAAGCCCAGCGCTGGGGAGCCAGTTACCTTTCCGCTGGGTCACTTTCTTCGCCAAGTTCTTGTCTGTGGCAGCTTCTCTCTCCTTCCACCGTCTGACCTGCTCCTGCCTCATCTTGAGGAAGAGGATCTGTTTCTGCTCCTCGCTGAGCTCTGCCAGCAGCTCAGGAGCGATGTACATTTCTGCCAGGATCTGCTGCAGCATGGCCGCGGCTCTGGCACATCAGCACTCCTGGCAACACGCTTCGAAGACAGGATTCTCCTTCCCAGGCCAGGCACAGCCGCACCAACACCAACAAAATCTCTCCACACCCAAAGCAGGCAGCAGGAACTCAGACTCACCATGGCAATTATAATCCCATCTCTCCACCTATTTTCGCTCAGACTTCCTGCACAGACTGAAAAAAGTAAATAAGCAGCTTGGAACCTCTGATTATGATTCACGGAAATCACAGGAGATCTGAACTTGCCGGCAGAGCTTAAAGAAAAGATGTGTCCTTGATCATCCAGGGATGAACTGCCAAGATTTATAGTGAGAAAATTCTTTTACTGCCCCAGTAAATTTCACTGATACCGTGTAGAAGAGAGTTCCCTGTATCACAAAAATCAGAGGTGTGGCTTACTTTGAGCTAGGCAAACATGCCATTACCTGGTGAGAGAGCAATGACCCAATGAATCTACAGCTCCCTCCCCCTCCCCCTCCACAGAGAAACTCCTTTGGGAATTGACTGGCACACTCCAATTTGCCTAATGCAGAATGGGGTGAGATGGGGGTTTTGGGAGCCCACTCTGTCCACAAAATCTCTCAAGTTACGACAACTTTTTTCAGCTAGATGGGCACCAGCAGCACAGCTGGTCCTTCTGCCCCAGCTCTCACCAGGCCTGAGCAGCCCAGGGTGACCCCCAGGCAGACAAGGCTGGAGCCAGACGGAAGCGGGGAGCGACGTGGGGAAGACAGGGGAACAGTTAACAAGGTCAGTGGGCACAAGCGAGAACCTCTTTCTCCAGAGAATTGTGAATGCTACGTTTGATCTTTGAACGCTTTAAGGGCTCTCTCCTCCACACTCACGCTCTCCCTGCCCCACACTGCAGCCCCCTCCAGAACTCGCTTCCTACCCCCTGCCTCGGTGGTTCAAACGAAAGGCAGCATCGGAGCCTTTCAGAGCAGCTGGCAGGCTGCTTTCTGCTTCTTGCCCCACATGCACCAAGGCGTTGTCTCCTGAAAGGTTACCTTGGGTTTGCAACCCAGGCAAGCGCTCAGCACAAACCCATCCACCCCCTCTCAGGCCAGACACCCACTGCATGTGGTCTGCTTCAAAGTACTGCTGGGAGTCAGTCCCCACTTGGGAGTTAGATGCGTTTGCTGAACGGTCCCTTTCTTTCTAATCACACCTGCCAGACGTGAGAAGAAAACAAGTTCCTTACCTTTCACAGCCACCTCTGGAGCTACCTGGGAGAGGCTTGCTGGCCTCGTAAGCAGGAGATATATCCCATAGTCACAGCACTCCCAGACGTTTTGCCTTTATTGCTGAGAGAAGGGACTTGGCCAATTAGGCACCAGACGACATCTCAAGGGCTGAACAGCACCCTGGGTGTTCCAACCAGGCTCAAATCTCCTGGAAGCCCTGCAGGTGGAAGTAAAACAATATCTCAGCTTCAATGTTTTTATTTTCAAAACAAGGCACTGGTCAGCCCTCATCTGGAGGGGTGTGTCCAATTATGCTCACCCATGTCTGAGCCAGGTGGATTCATGCCAAAACAGGTACTGAGCAAGTCGACGAGGCTGCGCAGCGGAACGGAGAGTCCGAGGAGAGGAAAACAGTTTGGCTAGTTCAGCCAAGCAAAACGCAGGCTGAGGGGCAGCTGGTAGAAATACAGCAGAGAGGGAGAAGAGCTATTGAATGTAAAGGACAATGTTGGCACAAGGACCCCTGGGGATAAACTGGCCATGAATCAATGTAGGCTGGGCAATGAACAGAAGGCTTCTGTCCATCAGAGGAGTGAGGGCCTGGAACAGCCTCTCCATAGGAGCAGTGGGCCAAATAACCCCACTAGCTTTAGGATGGAGCTTGATACATACATGACGCGGTGGCAGGGGACTGGACTCGCTGACCCAGGAGTTTCATGCCACTCCTATGCCCTTGTGATGGGGTGCCTATCCCCCCACACAGGTGGTGAACCCGCCCAGTGGCACCTGGAGGGTTGTCCATGTCTAATTAATGATGAAACCTAGCGCGGGTGGCTGGGTGTGCTACAAGCAGAGGAAGTTTATAGCAGAAGGGCGGCAGGGAGAAACCCAGCAATCACTCTGCGGATAGCAGGGAGTGAGGAGATCCGTAGGAATGGGGAGACCACTGCAGGGTGAGGAGAAAGCCCAGGGAAAGTCTCAGTAGGAAGGAGTCCAGGGAAGTACCAGCAAAGAGTCCACTGGTGGAGTGACCCATGACTGCCTGCCCTAGGGTTCCTGGACTGGATCCCAGCATAGGAGGAGGGCCTGGGTTCTCCTACCAGCCACGGGCAGGGTGCTGTGAAGGCCCTCAAAAGGGGCACTGGACTGCAGGGCCCAGAATGAAGGGCAGCAGCGCAGGCAGAGGGATCAGACATTTGTTTTCACTGGATTTTCTGTTACCTCAGAAGGACTGGGATTAACTGCGACCGGGCCAGAAGGCTAAGTCACGAGAAGAGGCACCTTACGTGCCCCTCCTCTGCTGGGACGTTCTGCCCCAAACTTGGTCGATTGGGCCTCCTCTAGGGCAGAGTGCTTCCGTAGGGTTGGTGTCCACCACCCCGGTGTCCCTATCCAAGTGCGACCTCAGATCAGACATGGGGACCTGCTGAATTTAAGCCGATTAGTCAGTGGAGAAAACGAAACTAACCAGGAGTCCCTCAGTAACAGGAAAGAGGGCAGGTTGTGTCTTCACTGAAGAGCTACAGTGGTGCAGCAGCTGCGTATTAAGTGTAGCCAAGCCCGGGCACAAGACCAATAGTTAAAAAGTACCATAAGGGGACACTGAAAAGAACTTTGAAGAGAAAGTTCAAGAGGGCGTGAAACTGTTAAGAAGCAAACAGGTGAGGTCTGTGCAGTCCACCCAGCGGATTCCAGCCAGCAGGTTTGGTTGGCTGGCCGGCCCCAGTCGACGAATCCCCTTTCCAACCCTAGCCCTAGGCCGGGGAGCCCTATTGACCTAAATAATCATCTAAGAAAAAGGAGCCCTTCCTTTTGTAATCCTAGCCCTAGTATGGACAAACCTTCTAACACAACCCCTAATCCTGTGATAGGAAACCATATTCTTTATAACCCTAAACCCAGGATGGGGAGCCCTACTGACTCCAACCCTAACTGTAGGCCAAGAAGCCCTGCTGATCCCAATTCTAGGCCTAAGTTGAGGAGCCCAACACTTTGCAACCCTACGCTGGATCTCTACTGAACTAAACACTAGACTGGGGGTGCCCCCTACTTTATAACCCTAGGCCAGGTGCCCCACCCTTTGCAAATCTAACCCCTAAACAGGGATCCCTCCTGACCTAATCCTGAGCCTAGGGACCCCTCTGACACTGGCAGACAAGGTGCCAAGCTCATGCCAAGGCCCCCAGGCCTCACTGAACACTGACAATGCATAGCTGGAAACCAGTCTGGCTCACTGTCTGTTAGTATACTTAAAATAGGTACTACAGTTATAGAGCTGTGTTTAGCATTTGGACCTTATGAAATGCTTGTGAGCTGTTGCATGCATTATCTCACTTATAACCTCTGTATCTCATGTTATAAGGTAATGTTTAAGTGTTTGCTCTGTAACTATAAAAGTATTTGCTATGAGAGTGGGGCAGGCGGGAGGGGGGAAACCCAGGTCAGGAAAGCAGCATTACCAAATGTGAAATACTAGTTTACCACAAGAGGTGTCATCTCCTGCCCAACAAAAGAAGGCCTATAGACACCAGACAAACCATTGTGGAACATCAGTGGACAAAAGACTTTGTTGATTGTTTTCCCCACACCCACAAACAGGAGGAATGCGCAAACATTCATCCCATCACACCCTGAACTCTGGGGAATAAAGATTCCTGTCAAGAAGAAATTGTCATCACTCTGCTGCTTCTGTTTCTAACTCTATCCCGGGGCTGGGAAGCTCTACCCTTTATAAGCCTAGCTCTAGGTTGGAGAGCCAACCTAACCCTAACCGTAGACCAGGGACCCCTCTTTGTCAGGCACTGCCTCCCAGTAGTCAGGCCTAGTGGTTGGAGTGCAGTTGAAGCCAGACTTAGGGTCAGACTGGGCCAAGGGTGGCCCTGCAGTCGAGATCCGGGGACAGGCCAGAGTCAGAACCGAGATCAGAGTCCATCGATAAAGTCCAGCTGCAAGTCAGGGGTCGAAGCCAGGTGGTCCAAAGTCAGTACTGTAGCTAAAGTCCAGGTACACGCTAAAGAGCAAAGCCGGATGATCAGAGTCCAAGGGGGAGGGAGAGGAGGAAAGGCTGGAGGAAAGTCAGGGTAGGGCAAGAACAAGACTGGACCAGGGCTCAGGCTCCGCTGATGCAGAGACAGGTTGGGAGTGTGGAGAGTCCAATACACGGTGTGGCTGCGGGAGGGTTCCTGGTAGGCTAGTGCTGTTCACAGACATATCTGCAGCTTCGGCGGAGCTGGA